TTGCTGCACAATCTTCAGACCAATCAGGTGGAGAGTGCCATCTAATGAAGTCTTCCAGGACACACCCTGGATTTGCGGCCTGTTAAGAAGAAAAAACTTCTTGTTTAGAAAGTTATAGCAGCCACAGCCTATGAGAAAGCAGCTTTAAACTTGCCTTGAAGGCTTGCATATCTGATAGAAGTTGAGAACACCCAGCACCAACACTGAGAGTATAAATACAAACAGCATCACAACCATTGCTCTATCACTTAAATCAAAAAAAAAATAATAGTGGATTGATATTAAGGTATATGACTGTGATGCACCTTTCAAGAAGGATCATATTTGCAAAAGAAAGTGATTATTGATACCTAACTAAAACTGAAATTAAGTGCTTGGATGCGATCAGTATCAAATGATTGCCAAAGCAAGTAAATATAAGAAAGGTTGACATCATACATGCTAGCAGTACAATGGTACATAAGAAAGCTTGGAATACCTTCCAGTCCTTAAGACAAGTTCTTCTGTTTCTTTTATAAGCTCTGCTGTCATAATGGGACCTTCCTGAATATAGATTTGACAGGTACTCAGATTCATTGTAAAAGAAAGCTTCCCTGAAAAAAGAAACAGAGAAAGCAACAGCTTACCTGCAGAGTTGGAGAATATACGAGCTCACCAGTTTCCAACAACGTTAAGTTCTCTGATGGATGATCAGCACCAAGCCGAAGAACATTGTCACCAGCACTACCTTTTATATACATCTCGCTGTCAGGAGAGTCCCCATTTGAATACAAGTGATTGGAGTTATCAATACTTGCACGTTTTAACAATGAATCCAGTGATTCCTTGGCGGCTTTTCTCCGTTTTTTCCTGGCAATGCAGCAATTTATAACTTGTATCTCTTGATGCAGTAAACAACAATTCAAGTCTGGAGCAGCATCCAGTGGCATTCGAGGCACCGGTTGCCCATCGGACCATAGTTTCTTCAACTGCATTAATTAAAATAAATAAATATGGTGCTTCATATTAGCTATGATTGTTCATATCTAGTCACTCAGATCAAGTTCACTTCAGGTCTTCCTGTAATGACCTCATGTGTCTTAACATCTTTGTATTGCAAGTATACATCACTTCCAAGGAACAATTTCTTAACAAGGGCATTTTATCAACAAACTCTCACCTCGAGAACTAGGGATTGCCAAAAGAACGCCATTTTGTATACAGAACTTATTTTGCCAATAGTCTCTGCTATTTGATGAGTGAAACTTCCAGGTGGTGCACCGTGTAGATCCTTGGGCAAAGATATTGAGTGATGCAACTCTGAGTTGCATTGACTTTTGTCATGGGGAAAATGCTCCTCTGAAAAGACAAGTATATATCATAATTCAAATGCCAGAATAGCCACAGTTAAAGCAAACATCCTGAGAACACAAAGCGAAAACATACCTAATTTGAACAATGTGTACATCAAAGATTGTGTTTCATCATCGCCAACAAATTCAGAACTCGATCTTTCATCCTTTTCACGCCGAACAAGTGATTTGACAACAGATAAGCTCAAGCCCCCCTTCTCTTTCAGTAATTGGTCTCCATTAGACCTCATATCATTCATTGACTTGAAATTTTTACCGTTGCTACAAGAGCATAGAATACATTGTTTGTACATATATCGTGCATACAGTCCAAAAAATAATAATAATAATAATAATAATAATAACAACAACAAATCACTTGAATAAAAATTTGATCACAAGTGCAAATGCAATATGATGCAGGCATTATTGGTGCAATGCAGTTTGTGCCTTATTAATATTAATTATTGATAATATATGGGGCCAATCGAAATGCTGGATAACATATGCTAAGGAGAAAACTTACTCAATGGCAGCAACCAGCTGCTTAACCACTGAAACTGAAGGAAAGGCCATCTTTGTTGAAGAAGTTGAGTCAGGTTCAATATTTGAGGTATCCCCATCTGGGGAGGAGATTATATCTGGGGCCTGAAGAAAGATTTTATATATATTTATATAGCCTATGAAAGCAAGAAAGATTTTCTTTAACAGTTTCAGGCTCTTAGCATGTAACTTGCATGTATACGGGAAAGTTCACAAGATTGGATGGTAAGCATTAACCAAAAAAAAAGACTTTCTAGGTGGATCAAATATCAGATGCTAATTATAGAGCCATAACAGAATCGCCCACTTATTACTCTCGCAAACTCCACAATTTACTATTTTAGAGCCGACAGATCCACTAGAACTGCGATGAAAAAACCCAACCTTATCCACAAGGTCTAAAAACACAGTCTCGTGGAATCTCAGTGTAAGAACCATTTTAGATATTTACAGGATGGTTCATTCGGAAAGCTCATCAAACCAAAGTTACTGCTGCTAACTGAACTGTCTGACCATTTCTACCCGCCAAAGCTGCCCCAATTCAGAACAGCGACACTGTTTACTTGAACTACCAGTACAGAGCCACGCACGGTCAAAACCAATAACTCGTCATCGTCGAAACGCGAGCAACTCCATCAGGAACTAATCAGTTCACCACCCCCTATCACCGACGAACTCACAGCCTCGCCATCCACCACCACGCATCACCAACCCAACTCGCTAACCCGCGTACCTCGTCTCGCGGCGAACCCACGACGGCGGCGATGGAGTCGGGGTGCCGATCCGCCGATGGCCGCGGGGACGGCGCCCTGAGCGCCCCGGATCCGTCCGCATCTGCACGCGCCGCGGCCGATCCCGGCCGGATGCCGTCAGATTCCAAACACCAACAAAACCGACGTAGAGCGCAGCGGCGGCGGCGGCGTAGGGCGGGCGCAAGCGCACGTACCTCGGAGGTCGGCCTTGATGTCGGTGAGGACGCGGGCGGCGGCGGAGTGGATCGCGGTGCGGGCGCGCGACACGAGCGACGTGGTCGTCGCCGTCGTCGTCGACGGCGAGGAGGAGGCGGAGGAGGGGGCGGGGGAAGGAAGCTGGTGCATGGTGGGGCCTACCTGGCAGTGACGTGGGAGCGTGGGGGGCAGAGGAGAGGGAAGAAGGGGAGAGGAGGCATTGGGGTGAGGAAGGAAGGGGGAAGCCAAATGCGAAGGGGAAGGAGGTTGCGATTTGGAATTTTTTGTTTAAAAAAAAGAAGGGGATGTGTTGGATAGTGGAGAGGTGGTGGTGGCGGTGGGGAAAAAATAGGGGCCGTTGGATTCGGTCGGTTTCGGCCGTTGGATGGTCGGAGAGCCTGTGAGAGTTGATGGAGGGAGCGTTGCTGGGTTTTGGGATGCTAGAATCTCCCTCACACTAAAACTAGGTGTCGATCTTAAATCACCCGTATACGCGTCTTTGAAGTAGAAATTGTAGGCGATATATACATTACCTATTTTATATATTCCCTACTTGTATTGCTTTAACATTGGTCAATATTCTCTTCAGCATATCATTATCTAACAGGGTTGGAGGAGATGGAGTGTCGCCACAAGACTAAACTTTTGTTGTCGTTGTTCCGTCACTAGAGCAGTTACTGCTTGCAGGTAGGGTTTATCTCTAAACTAAAGGAGGACGAGACCAAGGTGATGTCATAATGGTATTGAGCTATGTTTTATTCTTACCCAAACATGAACTGAATAATATGGGGCTTTTGCTACTTACCTATTTTTAGCTCCATATATAGTTTCCGTCACTAGGCATGATGAAAACATTAACACCAGATATTATAGATGTCACGACGTACTTATCCTCAAAAGGCGTCACCACAGACTTATGAAAAATAAAATTATTACCCAAACTTTGTGATGTGCAAGATAATAAGAGTAATGGCTAGCCTAAAGAAAAGAAACACCTGTTTTTAACACTATTGCTAGTAACTATGAGTGGTAAATTGGTACTATAGAAATGGGATTGAAGAAAGTGGTAGTGAAGGATTTCTTTTTATTAAGTGTGAATCCGTCTTAAAGACGAAAAATGAAGATATAAAAAAAGAGCAATGCCATATGGCAGGTGGTTTTTTCTCGAGAAACATTCCCTACTTTCTTGCATGATATCTAAATTATCATAAAAAATAAACTTTTTATAAATATATCACTTAAAAAAAGGTCAAATTCAACCTCTACAAGTTATAAATAAACAAATTAAAATTAAAGTATTAGTTATGTAAATTCACTTTTTACAACTTGTGAAAGTCGAATTTGAACTTACGTGGGTGCATAGTAATATATATTTCATTAATCTATCTAGTCACTTTTTTTAAAAAAATATTATAACTATTTAGATGACATTTAAAATAGAGGGGATATCTTCTCGAGAATAAAAAACACTTTCCATGCTATATGCACTAAAACGCTCCTGCATAACTTTTAGACTAACAAATATCTCGGTTGTTTGATTTAATCCACAAAGTAGTTATAGAAAGTTAAGATGCTGTTGTATTGTCCCACATCAGCTTTTTAAAGAGTTTTTAAGAATTTACTTATATATGTGTGTAGCATTTTCAATTAAAATAGTACTTTTATATATGTTCTAGCATCTGTATGGCATCCCATAGCATTGGTATAGAATCCTCAGTACCTAGAAAGTGTGCATGCTTTCGTTTGTCCTGAAGTTCCTTGTCACCGCTAAATGTCATAGAGTTCAAACAAGAAGGTAACTCTTTGTTTGGAAGGATCTACAAACCCTGGTGTGTGAGGATACAGGCTGCCGGCGGCCGGCGGCGGCTGCTAGAGGCGCTATATTCATTTCTTCACTTCTGCAAAATCTGTTTTTATAAAGCCCAGTTGTGCTAGTATACGCTTTCTTCACTCCTCAGTACAGCTACTTGGTCCTCTTCTCTGCACACGCAGTACTAGCACTTGGTCAACCATGTGTTGTTAGGTGTAGACGTGTGGTCATTAATCAGTTCTTTCTAGATAATTACTATTAATCATGATGATTACATTTTTTTTTGACAGCCAGGCTATTCTTATCCTAAGATCAGCACCCCCAAGATACAGACTTCTTATCGTAGCTTAAAAATACATAACCAAGATATCAAGCGAACAAGAAAACAATGCCATTGATGTAAACATGACAGTAACATATACTCAGTTCATTATCGGATCCCTGTTTTTAAAAGAACAACATAACAACTTAAGACGCTACAATGATATATCGACTATACCCACCACCAAAACAATTACATGATGCAATGGCAACAAATTCAGGGCAGTGCCAACTCTGATCTGCACTCAGAAACTGCATCCATTCTGCAGTTCAGATATGTCTGATGAGCTAGCTATCTTTCAGTATTCAGGGGTGAAATTTTTGTGTGTGCCTAACAGTACTCCACAGTCAAACACCAGCATGAATGTCATCCTCTCATGACACAGATTCTCAGCTGGTGCTGCTTTAATCTGCCGTTCGTCTTCCTCTCAGAGCGGCCGTGTCCGGCGACCAGCGGCGCGGCCGCAGAGGAGGGCGTTCTTGGGGATGGGGTACTCGTCGCGCCACGACGTCGACGACGTCCAGACGCGGAGGTAGAACTGCTGCCCGAGGTACTGCCTCGCCCAGTTCTCCGACCGGACGTTCCACATGCCCACGTTGTCCAATGGCATGTAGATCGCAGTCCATGAATTAGGGTAAACCTGATGGAATAAACAGAGTTTGTGTGTGAGATCATGATGATCACTGCACAAAACAAGGGACAGAGATGTGTTTGTTTGTTTGTTATATTTCATAGCTGTTCTCAAGTTTTGCACCAGAGATGGCAATGAAAAATGAACTGACAATGCTCAGAAAAAATGCTTGATAGGTAGATACTTCAGCAAGATGAAAAATACTAGTACACTTAAAGGATAGCAATGTAGAAATGGAAGAATTTCATTATCTTCAGATTATCTAAAAAAGAATATGGAAGACTTTCTTGGCTTGAAATATTTTTAGTTCTATTTTTCAAGAAAGAGAAGTTCTAGAAAGGAGAGTAAGATAGTGAAATGTGGTGAAAGGACTCCCCAAAGCTTGTGAGTGCGGCACTATGACTTCCCTGATGGAGATCGATCACTAATACATCGTTTTCTGAAAGGGCACTGGCGAGAGCTTATCCAACACGCCGGGCCAAATGCGCAAGTTGGAATAATCAATGCCATGCTAAAAGGAACATTCACTTTGTGTTCAAGATTGCACTGCTTCTTTAGAATAGGGATTTATTGAGTTGAAGAACATTTCTTCAGGCACATTTTGTGGTGGATTTGAGAAAGGAACATTCACTTGGACGGCCTAACTTCAGTAAATTCTGATTCAAGTTAACCTGAATTGACTGAACCATAAACCCCGTTTCAACCACACTTCTGTGGTATCCAGTATTGACTATTCAACTCAAACTATCACTATCGTTTGGACATTTCCACTCGACTTCTCAGTTAGTTCAAAATTCAAAGATGCAAATCAATTCCAGTTTCAGTTCAAGGCACTAGCATATTCAGAACAAATCAGTAAAAACACAGCACCCATACCTGAACAGTGTACCGCGAAACGGCATCCCGCAGGTTGTAGCCCTGCCTGCTCGCTGATGACCATTTCCCTCCATCCATTCTGCTCACAAATTCCAAACTCATTCAGATCAAACAGAAATCAAATTTACAAACACTTCTAAAAATTCATGAAGAGAGCGAAAACGATTCCGTGCATACCCAACGACCCAGAAGGCGTAGCCGTCGATGTGCCACGACTGCACCTCGTTCTCGGGGTTCTCGAACACGATCTCGACGTAGTCCCTGTAGCTGGCCCCCATCACCGCCGTCTGGAGGTAGGCGCCGCCGCCGCCGCCGCCGGAGGGGCTGTCGGAGATGGTCCCGACAGAGAACACGCCGGCGATCTTGTAGTAGTCGGCGACCTTGAGCGGCGTGTCCGGGTTCACGTGCGACACCCCGTTCACCGAGTACCTCTGCTTCCCGTTCACAGTCGCCGACGAGCTCGCCAGCCTGATCGTCCTCGTCGTCGTCACCATCCCGTAGTGGTACGACCCCTGCGGGTTCGGCCGCGGCCCGCTCGCCGTCAAGTTCCACCTGTGCAAATAGCGGGCCAAGACATTCATTGGTAACCCTTCTCAAACAGGTCATAACAAACTAAATAAGATTATAGCTGCTAATAGTGACTAAATTGTACTCCCTCCAACTAAAAAAACAAATCTAGAACTGGATGTGACACATCCTATATGTCTAGATTCGTTGTACTAATATGTGTCGACACATTCAGTTCTAGATTAGTTTTTTATAAGATGACAGGAGTACATGAGAGCAAACGGCTATTTTAGGAGATAGCGGTAGCAATAGCCAGAGATTTAAAACGCTGCGCTCAAGCCACTGTCACTGACCTGATGGAGCGGGCCTGGTTGAGGGACCAGTCGATCTGGATGGTGGGGCCGCCCGGGAGTGCGGCGGGGGACTTGCCGCCGGAGCCGGAGTAGCGGAGGACGGCGGTGGTGGAGATGATCTTGGAGGTGAAGCGCGTGGAGACGACGACGGCGTAGTCGTAGGCCGGCTGGTCGGCGGTGAGGAGCACGGAGTAGGACTGGCCGAGGTGGACGTCGAGCGACGAGTAGGTGGTCTGCATGGTGTGGGACCCCTCCACCTCCACCAGCGTCATCGTGTGCCCCTGGAACCGGATGTTCAGCGACGTCGACAGCCCCACGTTCGAGATCCGGAACCTGTACGTCCTCCCTGCATTTTTTGTTTTCAGCACGAAAATTTTGCTGAAACATGGGATTCTGAAGAAAATTCATGGGAACTGAACTGTTTCCTGTGAAAATACTGTAAAATTCGTGTGTTCCAAACGAAATGAGCCCTTGTATTTCAACTCGATGATTCAGAAGGTGAGAATTCTCTACTTGCCTTGTTGGACGTTGAAGGTGTAGCCGTCCCAACTCCGGCCATTGATGAGAAGGCCGTCGGGGAAGCCGAGGGCCTTGCCGCTGTCGAGCATGTACTTCAAGTCCTGTACAATTTATTACAAGATGCTGATCTCGATCAGTCTCTGAATTAATCAGATTGCAAACACATTTCAAGAAATGAATTGGCGTGGGATATGATGGGATGAGACGTACGGTGTGGTTGGCCTTGTACCAGTCGCCGATGAGGAGGGGGTAGTCGGCGGCGGGGGGAGGGAAGGGGACGGGGATCATGGGGCGGCTGAGGACGCGGATGGCGCCGAAGCCGCCGGCGGCCTTGTGGAAGGCGAGGGAGGGGAAGTAGAAGTAGGTGCCGATCTGGTCCTTCACCTGCAGGATGTAGGTGAAGTTGCCGCCGGGGGGGATCGGGCACGTCGTCCCGGCCACGCCGTCCTCGAACGAGTTCCGCCGCTGCTGTATCCCGTTCCTTCCATCATCCGGCCAATTCACAATCCATCAGTTCTTCAGTTCATTCATTCATGGTGCAGTACGTACCACCATTACAGGAATTTTCCTTTTTAACGAATCAGCATGTGGCTGTGCACGATTACAAGTTCGAAAGCAGGAAACGCCAGAGTCATCAAGAACATGTAAAAGTTTTTTTTTTTTTGAGAAGGAAACTAAAACGGCGTCGTCGCTAGTGAACACATGCAATTCATATATAGTGGCGAGCATGTATATATGCCGTTGTCTCTGCAAAATTTGATGGTTCGACTCAACATGATTTGTGAATGGGAGAATGACAGATTCTGCATGGATAGTGATTTTGCTCAGGCAAAACGGTGTCTAAATTAAAAAGGTAGAACTGCAAACGAACTCAAACTGGACCTTGTGCAGTGGTTTGATTTTATTTACTGCTTAATTAGTAGATATATTTCCTCTCTTCTAAAAAAATTTAATTGTAAGGGAGTAGTGTTTGTTTTTAAAAAAAATTGTTTAGTAGTTTCAACAATCAATGTGTTTCATTGCAAGCTAGGGGCTCTTTTGTTGGTCATTGATTAATGGACTGTTTTGCATATAATCTGTCCATGGCACTATCTCAGCTGTGACAGCGACCTCGTAGTCGTCGTGGTCACGAGGACACACATGCCGCCGTCCATGCATGGAGTTGGCACGTTCTCTTATCTGCGCCATTGTCGTATACACGTACACTTCTCCTGCATACTATATTTACACACATGTACAGGTTTGCAGTTGTACATCAATGTACTTTCGACGAGAAAATTGGCATTTTTCAACTTGATCGCCCCCTAAAATGTAACCTCCGGTTTAATTGGAATGCCGCCTAGCTAGACGTACTAATTTCACCGGCCGCACGCAGATTGATAAGTCTCATGGTGTGACAGACGACGTTGCGACCGGGCATGATCATCGAGCAAAAGACCCCATGCTAGATTAGCTCTCTTTGAGAAAACTCAATTCATCGCTTATAAGGATATCCTCTCTTATTTTTACATGTCACTTAAAAGTTAACAAAAAAAATTAAAAAAATTTAGTAGGATAGATCAATATATGATATGTCACTTCACAAATATGCAAAATCAAATTTGGCTTATACAAGTATAAATAAAAATAACAAATTTGACTATGAATAAAACACATAATTCACAGTTAAATTTATTATTTTTGTTTTGAATTGTATAAGTTGAATTTTTACTCGCATGTTTGTGAAAAGATAGATCATGATCTATCTTGATAACATTTTTAATTTTTTTAATAATTTTTGAACGTCATGCACTGAACGAGTCACTCTCTTTGCATTCAATTCACGTCTCCGATCCCCGTCGCCTATTCAAAGACGACGCCGGGGCCGGGTCGGGCAGGGCCGAACGTACGTATCATCATTTCCGTGTCGACCGTATCGATCGATCTCTTGCGTGTGCTGCGGCGTCGGTCGTGCTACGGTGTCAGTGTGTCACGACGCGTCACGCGCGCGCGGCCAAGCACATGCGCGGGCAGCTAGCGCGACGTATTGAACGCACTTCACGTAGCACGTCGCCGTCACGCAACGACGCGTGCAACTACTGCTCCCGTAGTCCCGTGTGCCCCTCGCCTCTAGTAAGTAGTAACCCAAGCTCGCAGTCTCCCTCCGCTGCATGGCCACTGTTTTGGCTAGCCGCCCTTCCTTCCACCGACACCGCGAAAAACGACAGCTTTTCTGCTCGCTCCCCTCTTAAACCATCAGTCGAAGCACACTACTTTTCTTTCTTTTTATATTTTTTTGGGAGGGGGGGGGGGGGGGGCGTTTTTTACGAGTTCAACAGGAGGGCCCGTGACCGAGCTGCCACACCTTTTCGGTCACACGCCCGCGCGCGCGGCGAATCTGCGGGGCCTGGCCCTAGCGGCCGCGCCGCGCTACGCCCGCATCGTCTCGTGTCGGCTAGGCTGGCTCCCACGGAAACCCGCCGCACGGAAGCGGCACATGGCGCGGGCGCGGGGGAAGTAAAGCGCACGCGAATGGAGTACGCGATAGGATAACGCGCGGCCGCGCGCGCGAGGATCGTGGGCTCGTGGCTGCTCAGTGTGGATCACGGGACGCGGCGTACTTGAGCTTTGCCCCCCTCGTGCTCGACTGCTCATTATTCCCTTATCTGTGAATGTGGAAGATGCAAAAAAAAAAAAAAACTCAAAAAAGGGCGGGAAAAAGGAATGGATATGGTGCTACTCCTAGATCTGATCTGCGCGCACCGAAATTTGGAGCTATCTGCGATTACTCTGCTGCATCACTGCCTTCTGTTGTCTCATGTAGTGGTCATGTGCGTGCTTGCTGCGCACTTCACTCCTAATCCTACCTGCCTCACTTGGAGACGCGTTTATTCGCTTGGGAAACATTTGCTTCGTGTCCCTCACCACTGTCAATAATTTTCTTGGAGTCGATTATATCAGATATGTTTCTTTAACGCAAAATTCTCGTTGACAAACGAACAGACTGACCAGGGCACAGTCCGCTGCGCGGGCCCACCTGTCACCGAGACTAACAAGAGGCTTTTGGTCCACTAGCCGAATCACACAGTACGCTTAGCAGTACAGGTAATCAGTAGTCGTCCATTCATTTTAGCCTGGCCCTGCGCAATCCGAATGGCCTAATGACATGAGCTGTCACGAAATGTAAGGCTAAACCAATGAGACGATGTACTATACATACACATGTGTACTCTGCTATCTATGTAGGGCATGTGGGTTAGCCCCCTTTGATAATGCTTATTAAGTCCGGTTTTTAATAGGGGTCGGTAGGTACAGTGTGTGGCAAGCTCACTGCATGGGAGCAGAGCACAACACACTACACACTGCACTCACGAGATTGCTCTGAAAACTAACTACTACTACGAATAAACAGTGTAGCAGAACATGGGCGATTAAACACATCAAAACACGGAATAGAACAGACTGCAAAAGTTTAATTTAACTGCTGACAGAGTTGCTAGTAGTACTAGTTTGCTATGTGGTCGTTAGAGATCGTTTATATATTATAGAAAAACAGGGATTTTAGTTGGCTGTTAGAATTGATGCTGTTGGGGGGCTGATTAAATTTTTGCATGGCAATGGTACTTGCTGTAAGATATACTGCGACGCATTCCGTTGAACTGATAGTACCACGGAGATATACACATACGTACTAATGTACGAGCAATGAATCAAGTGCGTACGTTACGCCAGTTCATCATCATGTATAGTGTACTGGTAGTAGTATACGTACCAGGAGATGAGGAATGGGTCGTTGAGCTTGTTGAAGACGTTGATGATGAGGTTGTCGTTGGTGACGGCCTCTATCGTCGGCCCCGGGAACTGCCCGTTGATCAGGATCCCCTGCATTTTCGCCGCAAACGCCAGTGAATAATCAGACGGCCGCGCGCGCCAGTAAATCGATGGAAAAAAACCGGCGGAAACAATGCACGCGCGCGCATACCTGCTGCTTGACGCCGAGCGGGGTGATGTCGCCGTAGGTGACCGTCCACGTGAAGAACCGGTACGGGTCGTCGCCGGCGACGAGGAGGGCGGACGTGGCGAGGAAGAGGAAGAGAGCAGCGGCGACGACATTGCCTGCTGCCATTGGTTCGCGCGCGAGCGATTCCTCACCTCTTGCGGCAATGGAGACCAATCGGCGAGGGGCAGTAGCTAGTGTGAGCTAGCTAACTAATCAGCGGGAAGCGCTCGATGGATAGCTCAGCATGGGTGGGGCGTCGTTGCTGGTGAAAGCTGGAATGGTTTCTCGTGGGAGAGACGGGAGGCGCGCGAGAGCGACGGAAGCGGGAAGGTTTTTGGGGGCGGAGGAGCTAGCAGGGGTAGTGAGGGGATTGCGGCAGTGGCAGTGGCTCTCGCGCTCGATCGGCCCGTGGGGTGTCGAGTACTCCTTTTTGTAAGCGAGTTGTGGAGGGAGAAGGGAATTGGTAAGCACACCACGCACCAGCATGGATTGATCTCATAGTAGTAGTGAGGTGGTAGGGCAGATTTGGGTGGCTTCTAAGTGCTATTAGAGCAAGTTTAATAGGACAGCCAACTACTGGCTCCAAATTATCTATAGCTAATGTAATAACTAATTCATATAGTAGTTGCTTACTATACTATTAATATCTAGTCATACCTGTCATGCACACAGTGTGTCTTTTAATCCGTGCTGCAGCTGGCTACATATATGTAGCTCGCTGTTCTTTTCTCTCTTTTTTTATCTCTTTAAAATATGTTTATAGTTGGCTATTATACATGCTCTTAGAGGTTGGTTTGTGTTTTTTTTAATATGCAATGTAAGTAGCTATGAGTGAAGGGTTATTTTTTCGATTTCTAGTAGTTTGTCACGTGAACATTCTTCCCACTCTGATCGTGACAAACATGTAATTACGATGGTATATGTGGACATTTTACTAGAGAAAGGCGATCAGTCTCTTCAGTTAATATAGGAGGAGCCTAAGCATCGGGGCGCCAGATGGTATGGGAAAAAATCGGACGCTGACGTTAGCATGACATCAGCGCCACGCATACGTGAAAAACCACTTTAAATTATTTTTTCTCTTAAATTATTTATCCAAATCATGATCTGATTACACCATTAAATTCGTCGTAATTAAATCTTTAAAACAACACCACACATGGATATATTCCGACGAAAAAAAAAGCTTATTATTAAATTATTTTTAAATGTTGCACGATGTTTCACCAACTATATCGAAATTGTTTCACTAAGTATATTAAAAATGTTTCAATCATTTAAATCAGACGTTATTTCACCTTATATAAAAATAACGTTTCAGCAAATAGCGATAGAATGTTTCAGTTCACTCCAACATTAGATCTGTACATAGTAAAACATTGTGAGTACACTAGGTGAAACATTTTTGGTGGAACAAAAAATGAAACGAATTCCCTTAATAGAGGGTTTCCAAAATATGTGGGTGATTTGTTGCAAAGAATGTTTTTGTTCACTGCAACATTAGATCTATACATAGTGAACATTGTGAGTACACTAGGTGAAACATTTTTCGTGGAGACACATGGCAGGTGGGAATAGGTCACATGGTGGGGGCCCGAGGGGAGTGCCCGATTTTGCTTCCCCCGGCCGGTCGACTGATTCTAATCATTATCGGTTAATATAGCTTGACTTATGCTTGTCAGGGTTACGGATAAGGCATACATTCTATCCTACGACTTATGAAATATGACGATAAGGTATACCTTTATATGTACGGTTGGTTTCCGTTAGGAATTCTCCTCGAATTATGAAAAATATCTCCACGAGGTTAAGGAATTGCCGAAGTCCTACTCGGAAGGGGGTAAGATCTCTAGTATATCGTGGTAGTTTACATAATCTTCAAGTCTTGCTTGGGGGTCAAGGTATCCCACGGTATAAAAGGGACCCTGTCAGGGTTACGGATAAGGTATACCCTCTATCCTTGGATGTATGTTGTATACTAACACGGTGTACCCGTGCGTATACGGATAGTTTCCGTATACGTCAAGGAAATCTATCCCGCGATAGAATCAGAATACGAATGGGTGGAGTCCTACTCGGACAAGGTTGGGTTTTTACCATATCGTGAGAGGTCCGATATCTCCGAGTCCTACTTGGAGATCAACTGACCCGCGGTATATAAGGGACCCCCGAGCAGGACCTAAGACATCGAATCTCACCGCCAACACACCTACCACAGCCTATGGAGTCGGAGCCTACAGGAGCCAAGTCGCCGGGAGATCTAGTCGAACCAACTCGACTACGGTCTCGTCGGTATCATCGAGTTCTGTTATTCTCTTTGTAATCTGTGGTTTCCATCATATAATCCCATACCAACTGGATTAGAGCTATTACCTTCTAAGGGGCCTGAACCAGTATAATCCTTGTCTTCTGTTTGCTTGATGTCGTACTACGTAGATCTTCGTACCAACGGACCCCAATACCTTTTATATCCGGTCTACGGGTATCCCCCGTCGACAGAACCCTAGAGGGAGGCTAAGGGCATCGCATCTCATCGCCAACACATCCACCAGAGTTTATAAAGCCGGAGTCCACGGAACCAACTCGCCGGGAGATCTCGTCGAATCCCTCGACTACGATCTCATCGGTATCGTCTGTTCGGTTACTCTCTTTGTAATTTGTTCTCAACATCATCAATCCCATATAAACTGTAGTAGAGCTATTACCTGATAAGAGGCCTGAACCAATATAATCCTTGTCTTTTGTCTGTTTTGATGACGTACTACGTAGATATCTGTTTCAACGTACCCCAATACCCTATTCTTCCGGGCCGCGAGTATCATTCGTCGACAATGCTGCTTTCTAAAAATTTGGTTTCTTTTTACAGGCAACCAAATTTCTAAAAACTGGGTTTCTGAACAAAGGCAACCGATCACCACATAAAAAATAAGAGTGTTTTTACCCTCCAATAAGCTAGTTCGGTATCAAATTTGGACCATTGATCTTTCAGGATCTTATACACTACTTGCTTATTGGAGTCCCCATAGATAGGATGGATAACGAGCTAATCAGCTAACTCGGCATATTTAAGGCCGGTTATCTCAGCAAGCTAAATTGCCTAGCTCTCCAGAACAGGGGGTGGCTGATCGGCGACTAGCCGCTTGGGACTGCACCCGCGTGGCCAGTCCGCCCGCCCCCCTCTAGCAGAAAAAACGTCTGTGTCTTGCAAGTCTTATTATTATTATTATACGGTTTAGCTAAGATAAAAAAATCATTGTGAGGATTCAAAAATATGAGTTGTAATTAGGAGTCCGACTCTCATATCAAATTAGCATGCGAGTTTTTTTAAAGAGATTTCTTGTAAGATGTCTTTTGTATTTCCAAAAGCAAACAAACTTAAAAATAGACTCGGACACAGATTTGTATCTCCAAAAACGAATGATCTTAAAAACAGACTCAAACATAAATAACCTACGAAAATACCGGCAAAAACATCTTCAATTTTTATAATAGTAGAGATAAAAAGTTTATACGTATGTATATAAAATATACACATATGTATATAATATATATATACATATATAATTTTTTATACGTATACACTTTTGATTATACATTATACAAAGTTTATATACGTGCGTATATAAACTTTGTATACGTACATACTATAGAACAGAAAAAAAACCGAAGAAACCAGATAAAACCACGCCACGTTCTCCCTCTCCGTGCATCGTTCCGCCGTCCCCCTCCGCACGCGCCACATGGCTATGGCGCGTGGGAGAGGGCACGCGTTACCATCCGCGCATTAGTTTTTTTTTTCCAGAACAGGGTTGCCATTGGCTTGACTTGTTCAACTCGTCATGCCTACAAATTTAAACCAATCAATCTCAATACAAGCCAGAGTTTCAAGTTTTTTTTCTACTCCCTCGTTCCAGAATATAAGAGGTTTTAGAGTTGAATATGGTTGTTAAGAAAATAGGTAAAAGTGAGTGGTGGAGGGTTGTGATTGGATGAGTAGTGGAGGTAGGTAAGAAAAGTGAATAGTGGAGGATTATGATTGGTTGGGAAGAGAATGTTAGTGGAGAAGTTGTTATATTTTGGGACAAATCTTGAGGGCTAAAAGTTGTTATATTTTGGGATGGAGGGAGTATTTGTTTTTCCAATCCAAAGCTACAAGTTTTTTTTTGTTTTTGTTTGTTTGTCCCCCTTTTTTTTTTTCAATCAAACTCAATACAAGCCAATCCTAGCCATGGCTGGAGATCGATCTCAAACAACTATGTTTTGCTTTGTGAAACCAAACTAGTGTAACCTTTGTGCACACATCTCAGATTAACTAGTGTCATAAGCACATAGGGCAGGCACAAACGATGGCATATATAGGAAAATACACTGAGACAAAAGTAACGTTACATGCATGACCCATAGTATGCTTCGTGTGGACGATGCAATATATATACCCGTTGGGTGCGGATGTTGGATTCAGCTGTCACGGGATGATGAAACCGCAGGATGGGGCTGCGTACGCGTCCACTACTCCCTGCTAGCTGGTTGATTCGGATTGGGTGACATAGGTAGGCATATCACAGTGTGACATAGTGTAGATCTTAGCCCTCCAAACCAAATCCAACGGCTGAGATTCATTCACGTCATTACGAGTTAAAATTTAACTCCAATAAAATTTTAACTCCTGAAATTTTACTCCCAGTAAAATTTTTGCTCCTACGAGTTAAATTTTAACTCATGATGACGTGGGCAAATCTCAACCGTTGGATTTAGTTTGAAGAGCTGAGATCTACGCTATATCACCTTGTAACATGCTTACTCTATGTTACCCAATCTGAATCCCACGCAACCACCTCCATCCTCAGCTTAGCTATGCGCCATCTCGCGTTCTTCGAGCCCATTGGCTACCGCTCGCCGAAAACGCAGGTCGCGCGCACTCACCTCGCGCCAGCCACCGAGAGTCCGAGACCGATCGCACCGAGGAAACAAAAACAAGCGGCTCTCGCGCTTGCTGCCGACGTCCGACGAGATAATGGCCGACGAAACCGTCGATACGGACCGGGGGGGGGGGGGGGTCCTACGCTGCTAATGCAGCCAGCGCAGAGTGGTGGCCTGTACTATAGTGCTCCAGGGAATCGGGGGGGGGGGGGGGGGGGGGGGGGCATTGCCATGTTTCTGCGTCTACGCTTGGATGCGTCTGCCCCCTGGCAATGCCAGGACGGACTCGATCGGATCGACGGCATTGGCGTATGTTGTCATAGCTACAGATTGGAGTACAGCAGAGGGGCCTTGGGGCTTCGATAGGTGGAGGATATGCTGCTGCAAAGGCTGGAATAATGCTTGCACTTTGCTCGGCTCCGGCCGATTCTGTGACTGTTTGTTGCAGCCTCTGAGAGTCGGTGGTAGGGGCGTTGTAGGTTCACTGTTCCGCTTGCTGGGTTTGATGGAGGTATGTAGAAGGCGCAGGTCATGTGGACAGAGAGTTCTCGTCACAGGTGTTCCTCGGAGAA